TTTCAAATTCAAACCCTCAAAGTCTCAAACACCTCCAAACGCCTTCCTAAATTCCTAATCCCTCAAACAATACAGCTTTTCTGTGCGGAAACTCGATCTTTGTCACCACCAATTTGCTGTTCCTCCAAGGCATCAAGGGTATGGTAGAAAATATCATAATTTACTGGACATTTTTCTTTTCTTTCATAGTTTTTTATGCAACTTTATACATATTAGTCAAAGATTCTAGTCAGACAATATTTTTATTGAATTGTGATATAAGTCAATTTTTTTTAAAAAAAAGAAAAGAAAAAGTAGATTTCAAATATTATTTTCTTATGCAAGTTTGAAAATTTAAGTAATAGTACTAGAACCAGACCAAACCGAACCGAACTAAATGGTTCAGTTCGGTTCGGTTCCGCATCTTAAAAAAAAACTATTTGGTTCCACTATTAAAAAACTATTGGTTCATAGTTCAGTTCGGTTCTCTTGGAACCAGAACCAAAAACACCACGTCCACCCCTAGAATTAGGGTTTGACTCCCTCAAATCTTTAAAGTAGTTTGGTTTTAAATCCTCAACCTTCAAAAGTGAATTCCAAACCTATTTCAGTATGTGAATAATTCGATGATTTTTGTCTCTCACTTTAAATTATATGAAGTCATGTGCGATTTTAACGTTCAATTTAACGATTGTCACGTGGGACCATTATTCACTTATTAAAATAAATTAGGAACCTAAAATCATGCTAATCGAAAGATTTTAAGATCTTAGTCCTAATTTTTCCAAAAAATGATAGATTGGGTTGCATTCTTCGTCAACGCGAGAGTCGAAATATTTCGCTCATGGTTGGCCAACTACATATAAAAAATGGTCTACTTGAAGCTATCGACCGTTAGAAAAACAAAGTTAATGAGATGAAATTTTGAAAATAATAGGTATGAGGTATCTAGTGATGAAAGAAGACAAAGGAGGGCACGTAGTGGGGGGCAATTCTGTCAACTGAAAGATGGATACTACTTGTCGGGAATCTTACGAGCAAAAGGCCTATAAATAATAATTTATGAATAAATACTATTTTATTAACTTTTTTCATATTTTCTGCCAAAATGTATTTCTATATTAAATACATCAATCATGTTACAAGTACAGAAAAATTTGACAGACAAGACATGAGAGGAATTGAACGAAAGATGGAAAGAGAAAGAAGAAAACAATTCAATCATCTGCGATCACTTTGGCATCGATAGAAATTATGTCAAGAATTCATGTACTCGTGACTTTTTCCTAAACACGTCAATATTGGATAGGATTAAGAAAGAAGTGTGAAAAGTTCCGTGAGTAATTCAATTCAATTCGATTCAGTTTAATATATCAAATATGTTGGAGGATGAATTTACAAATTAATTTATAATTCAAATTTTTATTTGCATAATGGAATATAAATTATGAAAATAATAAGGTAAAGTGCAATCAATGATATAATTAATTATTAAGAATCAAACAACTTATATTAAAGGTAAGATTCGTTAGATGGGATCTTTCTATAATATTACTTCCCATTATATTTTAATGTTATTGAGTTTTATCGAGCTGTTTATAAACTATAAATTTTATAAAAATATCATAATTTTATAAAATAATATATTTAAAATGCACAAATTAAATTATTAGTGCTTAGCACACGATGAATATTTCATAAGATCATTTATGTATACAGAAATTGTTTTTGATTCTATTTTAAGAAAATAAAATAGAAAGTCTCTTGAAATATATTGCCCTTGTTCGACACATTTATTTGGAAAAAATGCATTTTAGAATAGTGAATTTTTGGAGAATATGTGGCTAAAAAATAAGATTTTTTTTTGAAATTTACTCATAAAATTATTTTACGGAAAATGTATGGTTGAAAATGCATTTTGAAAGGATTGATTTTTGAAAAATAGAGCCCAAACGGAACATATTCTATTTGGAGAATTTCTTACATATGCTCAACCCCTGTTTGGTGGCCATATTTTTGGAAAAAAAATTGAATTGTGAATTTTTGGAAAATGTGTGGTTAAAAAAATATGAATTTTTTTTTGAATTTACATTTAAAATATTTTATTGTTCAACTGTATGGTTGAAAATAAGTAAGTAGAAAAAATAATTTTAAAAAAAGTGATAGAGAAAGAGGGCTTAAACTCTCTTTAAAATTTACGAGACAGACAAGTTCCCATCATCTCGACTAGGACATCCTTATATCAAATAATTCTTATTCAATGTTTTAAAAATAAAAAAGTTTATATTAATTATTTAGTAAATAAATTGCAAGTGAGGATTTCGAATTATGGAGTTAGATGATAAAAGTGAAGAATGCAGATCCCCATTAAACGACCGCGTATTAAAAACTCCAGAGTGATGGATAGACACTTATTTGCTTCGTTCTCCGAGCTATAAAGAGCGTAGTCATATCGTCACCCTACCTGTTCCCAAGAGAGAGATATAGAGAGAGAAACAAAATATATATGCCACAGAGAGAGAGAGAGAGTTCGTAATCCGTTGTTTTCACTGGTGATGCTTGGGAGTGAGTGATAATAAACTGGTAGATAAGAAGACAGAAACTCAGAAAGAGAGAGAATGTGTATGTCTCTCTCTGTGTGTGTATACAATATAGAGAGATGTTTCTTTGTGTTTACTGCAGACCTGTAAAACTTAAATTTTCTTGCAGGAAATAATATGCGGTATTCAGTTCTTGATTCATATATCTGCATTTTTCTTGCATTGTTTAGCCAGTTGCTTTCATCTCATAAAGAACTATCAGTTGTGTCATTTTCAGTTTAATAATTCACTGTTGAAAGCTTTTTGAAACTCTGTTTGGTAAGGAGAAAGAAATAGTTATGGGAAAAGAGTGGCTGAATTGGGTTGGCGGAGGCGGAGGCGGAGGCGGAGGCGGTAGCGGAGTTAGTGGTGTTGGTGAGAGGAATAGGTCCACTAGGAGAAGAAGAATGGTCGGTGAAGTGAAAGAAGCAACTTCTGGCTGCATGTGTGCAGTTTTTCAGCTCTTTGATTTACATCATTTTCAGTTTCCTTTGAATCAGCAGCCTGAATATTTCCATCAAGAAGAAGACACCACCACATCCAAAGGTCGTATTCCAACCCCACCCTCCATTTAGAAAAAAACCCAGGTTTCTTTCTCTGTGTTCGATTCTGCAAATATGTTGAGTTTATAAAAAAGTTCATTTTGTCATGCAGGAGTGGAAGCACCAAGAAACAGTTTGGAGTTAGAGGAGCCTGCCATGAAAGCTGCTTCATTTTCCTTGGAGGATAAAAAATTGAAAATCCCAGTAAGTACATATTAATCGTGATTATTTCCTAATGTATAAAGAAGTTAATATGATAATTAATTATTATGCAGTTGGGTTATTGTTAATTTTTTGTTTCTGGATTCTGAAAATATTTTTAGGCTCCAATTCAAATCAAATCAAGACTAAGCGACTCTATTTCAGAATCCAACACCATCAATTCACCAGGAACAAAAACTCCAAATTTAGTAGCTAGACTCATGGGTCTTGATCTTCTTCCAGAATGTGGCTCACCTGCATTTTCTTCTTCATCAAGTTTGAATCCTTCGAAAACAAAATCCCATTTGCATTCAAGAAATCTGATTCAAAGCAGATCAAGAAGCAGTAGAATTAGTTATTCTGATGATGATATTAGCATCAATGGTGCTCGTTCGTTGCCTGAAACTCCAAGAATTTCTTCAGCTAGAAGATCAGATGTGGATCATCATCACAGGCTATCTTTGCAAATCAACAAAGAAAATATTGGTCAAGATTATGAATATTCTGCAGTCAAGAAAATTGCTACAAGGAGAGGAATTGTTCAAGAAAATGATCAAAATAGGAGTCCAGGCAATTATGCTAAGCAGATTGTGAAGCAAGTTAAAGAAAGTTTTAATAGAAAAGTTGGCCTGCAGGATATCACCAACACAATCAAGAACAAAGAGCAAAGAAGGGATGAAAATCTTCTTAGAAAACCATCCAAAGTTTTAACAAAAATCGATGAAGAACTTGTTCATCAGGAAAAGAAATTGACACCAAACAGCAAAAATCAAACTTCTCTGTCTCCAAAACTTGCTATTTCATCATTAACATCAAATCAAAAGCCTCAAGTTCCATTGCAACACCAGAAGAATTTCAATCAGAAACGCAAGGAAGTTGCAAGTTCAAAAATCAAGAAAGCTCCACAAGTTTCCGATTCTATAAGGAACAAGAAAGAGGAGGCATTTGTTCGGTCAACGTTAACATCAAATAAAGTCAACCTTGGAGATAAGAAATCCAAGAAAACTCCATTCTCAAATGAGCTTCCAAACATCAATGTTCCAACCTTGTTGCCAGTCAAGAGAGACCCTTCTCCCCCAGCCACAAAGTTACCCCAAAAACAGGTATGCAAAATTTATCCTCCATTTTTAATAATTAAAGTATTCATTCTTTTAATTTCTTTCATAAAATTTTTGTTATACTATTAAGCCCCATAGTATTATTTTCCATATAATTTCTACTGATACAAGTGCATACTCTTATATTTTCTTCCGGCCGTGTTTGGTATGCACTAATTGAACAATAATGATGAGGCTATTGAACTTTTTCTTAATTAATATTGTACCAATCAAAGTAAATTTTCTTTTATTTTGTGGTGGGTCGATTAGTCACAGGTATCAGATTCTCATGCATTGAAAAGGAGCACACAGTTATCTTGTTGTTCGAGCCATTCGTACAAACAAGAAACGATATTCACCATCCAAGAAAACACCCAACAAGTCAAAACTAAAGAGCCTATCACCTCCGGCGAGTACAGACAGTACATTCAAAGAATACTTAAACGAATTGGGATCACAGACAAACCCACGCCAGTAATTTCCCTATACAAATTGAATTCACCTTCTCGCCCCCTACTCGACCCCTCAATTTTCAACTTTCTTGAACTCTTCCACCCCTACACCACCGCTGCCACCACCACCGTGTTGAGCGACCGCTGCAACAGAAAGCTCATTTTCCAACTAGTGAATGAACTTTTAGCAGAAATTGTAAGACCCGACAATTGTATCGTCACATGGGCTACTCCCAAACTTTCTGGTTCAGAATTGATTGACAAATTATGCATGAAAATACAAAGCTTTCCTGCAGCAAATTGCCAGGTTCTTGGGGATATAGATGCGCTGATAGGTACAGAGTTTTCTAAGTCTCAACTTGGAGGATCACGTGCGTTTTTCGAAGAAGAAGGTGAAGGGATAGTGAGGGAGATTGAACGTGAAATTGTGGATTCCTTAGTGCATGAAACCATTGCAGATTACAGTGTCCGTGCAGTAGGCAGGAACAAGTCTGATAAGAACCACGTGGTAAGATTCTATTCGTTGCCTTTTGGCGGCCCACGTGTAAGCGGTCTGGGATTTGTGTAAATCATTTTATTTTTCTCAAAATTTAGAACTTTATTTTTTTCTGTGTTTGAATTTGATGTTCAGTGAAATTATTAATGTAAGTAACTATGTTAACATGGATCATGAATGCTTATGTTTACTTTCTCTTGCTTTCATTTTCCTTTTTATCTAAATTTCATTCAAACGACAAACTATTGAATGAGAAGGGCGTTACAAACATAAAATTAAAAAGTTTGAGATCCAGCTGTCGTAGAAAAAAGGTTGTTTACCCGTGGTGCAAATTTCAATAAATTAGAGATATTGGCTACAAATTTTCCAAAATTATTACCCAAACATGCAAGTACATCCGTATATATGTCACATCACTTTTCATAAAGTTTTACATAGATACACAACAAAATATATCCATTACGAATGAAAGTTTTTGTTCTCCAACTAGTTACTCTAATCCGACGGGCGACATATATCTTTTTCCCATTCTACTTTTAAGAAAACAACTTCCGTCCAGGGACGGATCGAGACCATTTTTTT